GTCTATCTATGTATCTACCTGTCTATCTATGTATCTATCTATCTATCTATCCATCCATCCATCTCTCTCTCTACCTATCTATCTATCTATCTATCTACCTGTCTGTCTATCTCTCTCTCTCTCTATCTATCTACCTATCTATCTATCTCTCTACCTATCTATCTATCTATCCATCCATCTCTCTATCTATCCATCCATCTATCTCTCTATCTGTCTGTCTATCGCTCTATCTATCTATCTATCTCTCTACCTGTCCGTCCGTCCATCCATCCCTGTCTGTCTGTCTCTCTCTCCGTCTGTCTATCTATCTATCTATCTATCTATCTATCTATCTCTCTCTCTCTCTCTCTCTCTCTATCTATCTATCTATCTATCTATCTATCTATCTATCTATCTATCACACGTTCCGTTAGACTAGTGAAGCTTACAGTGTCATTCGTGGACTCCACTTGACCTCCACCCCGCTGAGTTTCCCCCAGAAGAACTGGTCATTGAACTGCAGGAACATGGCTCTCACGTCCGGATTGGGGTCCAGCATCTCCCACGACTCGTCCACGACGGACAGCGGTCTCTCTGGTCTGGGCTGAGAGCAGGAGTCAATCTTACGCTTCTTGCTGGACGGATAGTCTTCATCAGTCCATCCAGCTTTCGCGGTCTCCTGATCAAACTGCTCTTGTAAACGAAGAGCGAGTAAAAAGTCTTCATCCTCCATCTTCAGTCTGCTTTAGGACGAACAGTTGACACCTTCAACCAGAGCAAGAACTCCTCATAAATCCATTCATCGCGACCAACGAAACTCTCGCCTAATAGATTAAAGGGTTTAGTCGCGGGTTTTCGTGACTGTGACGATCAAGATGAACGTCTCAGATTTTTTTTGAAAGAAACCTATTTCCACCAGAGACCTATGAAAAAACAATTGTTGGCCAATCGTAAAGCCGCACAGCGTTGGGAATGCTGGGAAATGTATTTCTAAGCCTAGTTGTTTATAATGTTACGTTATATGCATGAACAGCGCAACACTGGGGACTTGTGGATGTTACAATATGCAAACAGATAAAAATAGCGCTACAAAAATAACAGCCCGTGGAATGCGGGAAGGAGACGTAAAATGTTGACCAATCAAAGTAGTTGCACGGAGTTGCTAGATCCACAAACAACAAATCGTACAATTTTTTGTTGTTTATCATTTTATTCGTCATTTGTTAATTATTTGTCATTTGATGATTAATTATTCATTCATTATTGGAGCGAATATGGGATACTAACCAACATGGTGAAAAATAGTTCCTTTGAGTAATTCATACATTTTACTCTGAACACTTCCTAACAATAAGGCGGCGCTTAATTTGGTCGTGCTGTGTTTTTACTCAAATGGGTATAATGACATATTTCAAAATATGTAAAAATAAAATAAAGATAACATACTTTTATTCCATTTATAACATGTTAACGTGGTACAGTTCTACTACTGTGTAATTATTTTATATTTCTAAGCTATGTTTGCAATAAAGTGTATGAATTAAAATATAAGTATGGTATATATATATATATATACATATACATACTGTACATACATTTGATAGTTACTGACCCGATTTTTTTGTTTTTTGTAACCAAGCTTTTTATTTATTTACTTATTATGAATATTAACATGGACATCAACACCAAAAGACATTAAATTATTCAAATATATTATAAGTGAGTGAATCTTTGTTGTTATGTTCAGTATTTTGAAACGTTCGCTAGTCACGTGATGTGACGTCACGGGGAGGTGTCGAGCGCTTCCGGTTGAGGACGCGATCAGCTCTGCAGCTCGACTGATTTTCACACACTTATCCTCATATTTGTGTTTCATTCATACTTTTTCTTTCGCCGTAACATCGAAAAAACATGGCAGACGCTGGAAACCGTTTGCGCAAGTTGCTGGAATCCCCTAATTTTGACCCTCAGTCCTACGTGAAGCAGCTCTCGCAGCAGTCGGACGGTGACCGCGATCTACAAGAACACCGTCAGAAAATACAAACACTCGCCGACGAAACCGCGCAGAACCTTAAGAAAAATGTTTATAAAAACTACAGGCAGTTTATTGAGACAGCCAAGGAGATTTCTTACTTGGAGAGTGAGATGTATCAGCTGAGTCACTTTCTCACTGAGCAGAAGAGCATAATGGAGAGCATTACACAGTCTCTCCTGTCCACAGATAAAGACGAAGCAGCCAAAGAGATGCTCGCAGCCTTTCCAAAGGAAACTGAAGAGGTTAAACAAAGAACCCTAACCACACTTTTGGAAAAAGTGGAGGGATGCAAGACCATCATGGAAACCCCCGGCAGATATCTGGTCTATAATGGTGATCTTTTGGAGTATGACGCAGACAACATGTCACAGATCCAAAAGGTTCACACGTTTCTGATGAACGATTGCCTGCTCATCGCAACCTGGCTGGCAAACAGACATGGAGCCGTGAAATACAAATACAATGCGCTGTATGATCTAGAAAGCTTTGCAGTTGTAAATGTAAAAGACAACCCTCCGATGAAAGACATGTTCAAAATCCTCATGTTCCCCGACAGCCGCATCTTCAAAGCCGAGAACAGCAAGATCAAGAAAGAGTGGCTGGAGATTCTGGAGGAAACGAAGAAAAACAAAGTGGCGAAAGACAAACACAAAAAAGAAGAGGAGGTGCCAACGTCGCCAGTCAGGCAGGACGTCTCCACAAACCCATTTGATGAGGACGAGCCTCTGGGTTCAGAGGAACTGGTGGATCTCAGTCCCGAATGGATCCAGGAGCTTCCAGAAGACCTTGACGTGTGCATCGCTCAGAGAGACTTTGAGGGTGCTGTTGATCTTCTGGATAAACTTAACGAATATCTGAAGGAGCAACCAGTGAGCCCACGGGTGAAGGAGCTCAGAGGGAAGGTGGATGAGCGTGTTCGACAGCTGACGGAGGTCCTGGTGTTCGAACTCTCGCCTGATCGCTCGCTCCGTGGAGGACCTAAAGCCACGCGGCGAGCCGTCTCTCAACTCATTCGCCTGGGCCAGTCCACGAAAGCCTGTGAGCTGTTTTTGAAAAACAGAGCGGCGGCCGTCCAAACCGCCATCCGGCAGCTTCGGATCGAGGGCGCCACGCTGCTTTACATCCAAAAGCTCTGCAACATCTTCTTCACGAGCCTGCTTGAAACCGCCAGGGAGTTTGAGACTGATTTCGCAGGCAACACTGGCTGCTACTCCGCCTTTGTGGTCTGGTCTCGTTCGGTGATGAAGATGTTCGTAGATGCCTTCAGCAAGCAGGTGTTTGACAGCAAAGAAAGCTTGTCCACAGCTGCAGAGTGCGTGAAGTTCGCCAGTGAGCACTGCATGCAGCTGAGCGAGATTGGCTTGGATCTGACCTTCATTTTACAATCTTTACTTGTGAAAGACATCAGGGCGGCTCTCCAAAGCCAGAAAGACATCATCATAGAAGCAACGAGGCATCGTAACTCTGAGGAGATGTGGCGTAGGATGAACCTGATGACTCCTGAAGCTCTGGCCAAGCTCAAGGACGAAATGCGAAGCTGCGGGATCGGCAGTTTCGACCAGTATACGGGAGAAGACTGCTGGGTCAACCTGAGCTACACCATTGTGGCCTTCACCAAGCAGATGATGGCCTTCCTGGAGGAAGGGCTGAAGCTGTACTTCCCAGAGCTGCACATGGTGTTTCTGGAGAGCCTGCGGGAGATCATCCTGGTGGCGGCGCAGCATGTGGACTACAGCCTGCGCTGTGAGCAGGAGGCCGAGAAAAAGGCCTTTATTCTGCAGAACGCATCGTTCCTGCATGAGACGGTGCTTCCTGTTGTGGAGAAGAGGTTTGAGGAGGGAGTCGGGAAACCTGCCAAACAGCTCCAGGATCTGAGGAAGAGCTCTCGGTCTGTCAGGGTCAACCCCGAGAGCACCATGTCCGTCGTCTAATAGAGATGTGGATGGACGTGAATGAATGAGATTGATAATGCACTTTAGGTCTCCAAATCTCAATACATTTCACTACATTGCACTCATATGACTCATTTTTGGTGTTGTGATGCACTCCGCAACCTCTCACACTCTTTAAAGAAATAGTTCACTGAAAATAGAAATTCTGTCATTTTTTACTCGCATTCATGTCAAACCTTTATGTTGTTGTACATAGAACACAAAATGAGAATTTAAATTTTAAAATGGGTGTCAAGCTTCAAAAAATGTCTAAAAAGCACAATTGAAAAATTAGTCTTCAAATAACAGCATATGGTTTTGAAACAGAATGGGGGTGAATAAATGGCAGAATTTTCAATGTTATGTTTGTGTCCTTTAAGTCCAACTATGGAAGCCTGTTTCTGCCACAGAATAAAACAAAAAAGGTAACTGCGGCTTTTTATCTCACAATTCTGACTGTTTTTCCTTGCAATTCTGAGTTTATATCTCGCAATTCAGACTTTTCAGTCGGAGACAAGATTCAGTGAAGATATAAACAGAATTAACTGATGTAAGATGTAAAGTGAAAAAATGTAAATGTAAAAAAGTTTTGTGACTGACTTTTTATCTCAATTGTTTTTTTTTTTCACAATTGTGAGTTTATATATTATATATTACAATTCAAACTCCTCAGAATTGCTTATAAACTTATAATTGAAAGTGCTTATAATTGAAAGAGTTTATATCTCGAAATATGGACTCTTTCTCAGAAGTGTGATGAAAAAAGTCAGAATTGTGTTTTTAAAAAATGGCAATTACCTTTTATTTTTGTTCCGTGGCTCTATATCAGGCCAAACGGCAACTGTATAAGACTTACGTTTAATAATAATAATTGTTTTAATTGTGCTTTGTAGAGAGATCAGCTGTTGGTTCTTTAGTCATTTATAATGAACTTTATATTATTAAACTATATAGAAATTAAAATTGTCCTTCTAATTAAAATGTGAAGAATTACATTTCATTTGTCATTTCAATCAAACAAAAATACGGATGTAAAGATGAAAACACTTTTGTTTATACTGCTTTCTTTTGAGTGTGTTGTACACAAACTAGTAAACACCCAGTTTATTAAAAAAAAAAAAAAAAAAAAGCAATGTGCTTTTTCAAACTCACTAACATGCTCTATTCTTTTGATGCTGTGCTCCAGATGTCAAAGCTTTTAAATGTGGTGCCCCCTGGTGTACAGGGAATTGTTCAATAAAAGTAAGCCTCTGTTAAAAATCCCAAAGCCAGAGTCTTGACAATAACCCAGAGTTATTAAACATATTCCCCTTTCATCTGTTTTTTTCCCTCTTTGATACTGCTGTTGCTGTTCTCTGCCAGACTTCATATCCTTGATCAAATATTCACAAGGTCTTTTTGTATTGTATTTTTGTTGTTTTAACCCTTCCGGCACATAATACACAGACAACTTTCAATTAAACTTTATAATAATATGAGGAAAAGATTTAAGGTGTTGGCACTTAGACTTAAATAAGGCTATTAAATTAACTTCTAAATCAATTTGAAACAAGAACTTTATTGCATGCAAGAAAATCTAATTTCATTATTTGATGCAGTCTGGTTTGCACTGATACACACACAACATGGATGCTGCTTTTTCAGTATTCTAGGTATGCGTCGCCCTGTGGGTTATGACAGGAGTTCATTTTCTCTTGGCAGACCCCCAGCCTAATCTAATGGATCAGTTTCGCGCCTCTGAACAACACCACAGCCATGTGAGAAAGAACAATAGCGTGTGCCTTCTCGCTCCCCCGATGCCCGATTGTCAAATAAATATTTGAAACACAATTAGATTAAACTGGACATTAATGAAAAGTTTTCTTTCCTTTTTCCAAAATTCCACTCATTTGTTTTCAGTGTGTGTGTGTGTGTGTATATATTTATATATATATATAGGCTATATATATTTTAAATTATGTAATTAAAATTATATGCAAAATGGGACCTAAAACTTACAAAAATGATACTATTTGTGAGTGCATGGGAATATTTTTTTATAACTTCATGTTTTTCAAGAAAAAAAAATCTATACTATAAATGCTTATATGTAAATACACATTTTCTATTATATATATATATATATATATATATATATATATTCCCCATTACCAGTCAATAGATAACATGTGGTGTGGTGGAGTTATGGTGATGTATGTGTGGTGAAGTGCTAATTCTGTGCTGTAAT